CGTGTTTTCTCTGCCAACGCTAATTACTAGCATGATGTTGGGCTGTGGGATTATTAATTATTTTGCAGCCGGCTGATGGTTTTAAGTTTTGTGTCTATGGTGTGGAGGCGCCCCCCTCATCACTCGTTCTAAATCAACGCTGCGTGCTGACAGACAGGAAATGTATTGCGCTGCGGTTCGTTTTAAACAGAGATTTGGTTATTTTTTCGGCCTACAAATTAATTGACAACCGCTGGCTTGGTAGTTTTCGCGCTGTTTCAGTGTATAGCGCGTGTCTGGAAAACTGTCAGTAGTAATACGATTTGCACAGCCTTCCAAAACGGTATTGCCAGAGTTATAATATTATTATCAGGCTTCGAGCCGATAGATCTTTGACAATATCACCTAGGAAGCGTGTTGATTGCAGCTAGTACTAACAGGTGCGGTTCGTAGAAAACTTAACGAAGAAGCAGTACGCTTACGAAATGTCGGTTCTTTGATGAAACTATCTATATACCAGATATAATGATATGCAATTTGAATCTTCCAAGGTTGGCCGATCCTATATGTTGTAAAATTATTATAATCGTACGTTTAACAATTTGTTGCTTACATAGCACCAGAGGGCTGAATTGATTTTTGCCGAGCAACCAGAACGTAATTTGTTAGCAGAAGCATCAGCAAATAATTATCTGGCTCTCATGATAAAAGTGTCGCCAGAATTGGAACAGCCATTCCAGAAAAGATTACAATGCTGCCATACAATACAAACATGTCTCAATGCCAGCGCTTCAAAAAAAATTATGTTTTGAAATATATTTGCGCTGTGTGTACCATATAGTATATATAAATATATATATATATATTATGATTATTATATATATAGTATATCACAGAATGAATTCACAAAAGCCAACCCGAGGTCATGCTGTAATAACTTAGTGTGGCCTATATATATGGTAGTTTGGCATTACTCATTGCTGATTGATTGATTGATTGATTGATTGATTGATTGATTGCGCATCATGATCATTTGAAGATTTCAGATTTCCCGCCTACTCCTAGCTCTTATGCTGATTTGCGCTCGCCCAACTGAGCCCTGTCTTTTCTTCGCGTAAAATGTAAAAGAAAAATAACCGGGGTCCCTCGTACACGCCACAGATCGTACGTCGCGCTTATTAGTAGTACGCGCAAAATCCGCAACCATTGGGGGGGGTGAGGGAGGGGCCGTCTGTGGGTGAGTAGTGGGCATGTATGATGGTGGGCCGATCCTTGGCTTATAATGTATGCATAGCAAACACAGAAAGAGATTGGTCGGCGTCCAGTTACGCATTATATTATATCAGAGCCACGCCGTACCATCACGAACCGTTTGAAACGTTTGAAAATGTATCTGAACTTGGTATGTAGCAAGCGATACGCGAATCTTCTGCGTGTATTTTTAATTAAACCGCTATACATAATTACGTGTGGCTGTGTGTATGATAAACTGTAACGAAAGGTGATTGTGAGAAAAGAGTATTTTTTGTACACGAGAGGAGCGGGGAAAGCGGCTTTGCGTTTTTGTATTAAATACTGATTCTAGCTTCTAGCTCCGAAACGTACGTACGTACATGTATAATGCATGTTCGTATCGATTTGTACATAGTCGTCATCATTACAGCATTTGCATGTTTCGAAAACACGTTTTACTGTTGTCATGTCGTGTTTAGTAATTGATCGCACAATAGATAGTAGCAAGAGTAGATAATAACACACATTTCAAACACAACTAGAGCACTCGGAGAGCACAGACCTCCGCCAAGGGCCCAGGCTGAATTCTTGTCACTGTGAAGAATTTTTATAATTAATTAGATTAATAACACTCCAATTAATTGGATCCGGATGACGACCAAAATGTAATCCCCCATAGATATTCGCTGAGTGCGAGCGTGCAGGTAGGGGAGGACTGTGGTTGCCCCTTAACCTGTGGTTGCGTGTTTGTAAGTCTACAGCCAGCGCACCTAGCGGAAGTGAACTGAAACGTGCATGTTCACAAACCCACAAACCCACAAACCAACACTCAAACACACGCCGGTGAAAATATAACCTCCGCCAAGCCCCTGGCCGAGGTAAAAATGACCAACCGGTCACTATGGCTACGCCACCTGACGGAATGTCACAACTACACGAGAAGACCGATTTTACTTCTAATGCGGCTTTCTAGACGTCCACGAGACATCTAACTTGCGTGCACAATACAAATTATTGCACTCTAGTGCCGAATTTCGGCGAAAACAAAACAAAAAAGGCCTTTTCTAGAGACGAAATAGAGTAGATAGAGAAAGAAAGAGGATGAGATAAAGAGGAAGGCGAGAGAAGGGAAGTAGAGATAAGGATAGAAATTCATTTATACCGCAGTTGAATCATTTCTACCGGAGTTGAATTATTTCTACCGCGGTTAAACCATTTATACCGCAGTAGATCGAATTATTTATACCGCAGTTGAATTATTGAGAAACAAGGCAATAGAGACACCGAGAGAGCGGGCGAGACGGTGTAAGAAAGTCAGAGAGAGAAAAGAGGAAAGTGAAAAGAAGGTATAGAGAGAGAAAGAGGAACAGAAGAAGAGATAAAGAGGAAGGCGAGAGAAGGGAAGTAGAGATAAGAATAGAAATTCATTTATACCGCAGTTGAATCATTTATACCGCGGTTAAATCAGTTTTAGCTTAAAGACGGCCAGCCACCTGGTGGTAATCGACAGTACTAATTCATCGTCGTGGGCGATAACATAAAGCCCACCGCACACCAGACGATTTTTACAAACGATGAAACGATGAAACGATGAAACGATGAAACGATGTAGGTGTGCGGGTTCATTTGTAGACGATTTTATTTTTATCGGACGATCGTTCCAAAATCAAACATGTTTGATTTTGAACCGATTATTTGGACGCGATTTTGTGGTGTGCGCGTGACCTTGGAAGATTGAACAGCGTGTGCGAGTGGCTGTGTAAATTTCCACACTCAATTCGCATTGTTCGCTTGATTGTTCGCTTGGACGCATTGTATTTTTTTCTCAGCTCGCATATTCAGGCCCCCGCACACCATCGTTTCATCGTTTCATCGCTTCATCGTTTCATCGTTTGTAAAAATCGTCTGGTGTGCGGTGGGCTTAAGCGACGGGGTGAGGAAAGAACCGAGGGGATATAGAGACACTGAGAAAAGGGGCGAGACGGTGTGGAAAAGAAAGAGAGAGAAAAGAAGAAAGTGAAAAGAAGATACTGAAAGAAAGAGAAAGAGAGGAACTGTCATTGGTAGAGTACATTAGTAGACATGTGAATTTTGGATTAAATTTAACATTTTTTCGAAGACTTGAAATAGGGTCAGTCAGATAATAACCAGCAATGAAGATTTGCTTTTTATTTTAGGTCAAATATGTAAAATTCCAGGACTTTAAACGACAAAATAAAAAAATAAGGACTTTCAAGGTCAAAGGACAAAATTCATAGACTTTCAACGGCTGTGGAGACCCGGCTGTAGACTCTCCCTCTTCCCCATTATCTTCCTCCCCCCCCCCTCTCGCACGGTGGATTACCTAGCCTATTGTCGGCTAAAAAATTTCACGGCGATGATACACAAAATGTTGATATACGGCTATAACACGCATATTTACAGTCACCCAGTAACACAAACACACACATGCATGCACGCACACACGCTGGGATGGTCGCACGCACGCACGCGTATTATAGGCCTATATTCACATTTTGTACAATCTGTAATCACGGATACGAAAATGTTTTAGCTCCAAAACGGCCAGCCACCTGGTGGTAATCTACCGTACTATTATTGTCGTGGGCGATACTATAAGCGAGAGGGGTGGAGGAGAAAGCGATGGCGATAGAGAAACGGAAAAGGGAGGGCGGGGCGAAAAAAGATGTGCGGGGGAGGAGACGGAAAGAGAGGGAAAGAGAAGAGAAAGAGAGAGTGCACTCAAAGGAAAAGAGAGTGAGAGATTGTGCACGAGTGAGAAAGCGATAGAGAGAGTGGGGTTGGAGGAAGTGAGAGATAGTGAGAGAAAAAGAACGAGAGAAATAGAAAATCCGAAGGCGAGAGAGAGAGAGAGGGGGTGGGGAGAAAAAGCTAGAGCGAGAAATTTCGCATCCGCAATGTACTATGTGTGTATATCTGCATATAACACGCGTGCGTGCGCGGCGTGAGCGCGTCACTGTACGTGTCTACATACGTGCGTGTGTATGCGCGTGTGATCGTGTAACGCGCGAACAAACGCGTATATAGGCCTATATATATATATATCTATATCTCTATATATATTATATAAGGACATACATAGTAATAGGTAGACGCAAAAATTTCGAAAAATCGGAAATGGTCAGTCGTTTGCTGGTTGTCCACCATCCTAATCATTCGGTGCATCCACACCGAGCTATATCTAGCTTCTTGGTCTACACCTACGTGTTGCGGGCAATAGCATAAATTTCAATAATGTGCGTATAAAAATATAAGGGAAAGCGAGAGACAAAGGGTGATATTTAAATATTTTTAAAGGATTTTTTTAACGAAGTTGTATTATGCTGTAAGCTTTCAAATACAACGGACATGATAGCATAAGGAAACCAGAGCAAATAAATCAATATAAATGTTGATTTATATGCTCTGAGGAAACTAGGGATTATGAACCAATTATAACATAGTGGCATTGGTTGGTAAATCCTTATAATTACGCAAAAGGATCACTTGAACGCAGTGAACAAATAATATGCAGTCGTAAAATTACACTTTTTTTAATTAGACTATTAATTAATAGTTCTCAAAACAACAAAAGCTTTTATGCAAATTACATTTGTGACTTATTTACTCTACAATTTCCCAACAACTTAGTACACAAATTCAGGCTAGACTAATTTCAGCCACAACCAGCAGTTGATGGCATTTTGAATGGTTTCAAGACAAATGAACTGTTTCACGAGTCTCAACTTCATGATCAGCACCAGACACAAAAAAGACAACAGATCAACTTCAAGTGACATATTTATTCCTGACAACACCTACAAGTCACAAAACAAAAAATGCACTGCAGAGAGCTCACTTGTTTTGCGCCGACATGGCACGTGAACATTCATTCGTTTACAGTTTCTCAATCTTACACCGATACAATGACGTGCACCATCCGACCCGACAATCATCAATACGAGTACTATAACACACACTAGTGAAAGAACGTTGTGCTACTCAAAACGTATATTTACATCGCACCCCCCTGCCATCTCGACCGGGCGCCCGCAATTTTGTTGAAGTTTTAACTACCTACACAATTATGCATTCTATAAAAAGTGAAATCGTTTACAATCATAGACGCTGTCGTTGCTCGTGAATCCACAACAACTCGCCGCAAATCCCGATCGGGAGTGCCCCGCCCGCCGCCTCCGATCGCGACGAACGGACGGCGAACGTGTGCGTTTTAAAAATGAACTGGCGAAACATAAATCACACTGGCCTGAACGAAAACGTAAAAAACAGAGGCAACCGTGACCGCACACGGCGACCCCACACGGCGACCTCACGCAATGCGCGGATTCCCGCACCGCCTACATGTATTTTTTTTACAGGCTGCCACCGTCCTCAGCAGTCCGCATTATTTACATTGCAAATAGTTGTGCCTTTGTCCACAGGTAGCGACAGTGGGGACCGTCTGGCAGCAGCTGACTGCTCTGCCGTTCTTCTAGCGTCCCTCGACTGAAACACGGGCAAATGCGCATACACGTGAGTCGACAACGGAGCTAAAGGCATCAATCACGCCCCACGAATTCCTCCCGCAAAAAGAACCAGTCACGAAACCGACACCCGCCGTGAGAAAACTCGCGCACGACTTTGCGCCGCAGGGCAAAAAAACAAAAACAAAAACAAGAGAGCACTCACTGTAGGAGGAGATGTCGATCTCTTCGGGCAGTTCCGTGATGTTCACGTCAAACCGGTCCTGCACTTCGTTGAGGATCTTCGCGTCGTTCTCGTCGCTGACGAACGTGATCGCGAGACCCTTTGTTCCGAATCGGCCAGCGCGCGCCACCTGCCAGGAAAACGACGCATTACTTGCGCGGAAGATCGCGGCTGTCCCGAACGCCACTCGAGAACATTTATCGCGAAGTCGCGTGAACAACTCACGAAATTGCTACAAGCCAAGTCACTAGGCCATCCTTAAAAAATTCTATGTTTGCTGTCCCCGACCCATGATTTTTTTAGTGGGTAGGAAGGTAGATCTTTTTTTCTTGTGAGGCATAATAGTTATTTTAAGTCTGTCCTCATGTTTGCCACACATGCTTTGTGTTTCAGTCTTAACTATGAAAAATAAAAATAAATAAAAAATGGAACCCAAAATGTCCAAAAAAACTTTTGGGTCGCAGCTATTTTCGTGGGTCGGTCAGAGGACAGCAAACATATAATTTTTCAAGGATGGCCCTACTCTCATGGAGATGCCAGCCAAGAAAAACGCCACACATAGCACGAGGATGCATCAATACGCAACAAAAACCCATGTCTAAAAGCAAGAACAAACTTTCCCCCGCAACGATGATGCCCCCTCCCCCTCTCAACAACAGTTACCAAGTATTAACGAACCCAAAGCACCTCCGCTTAACACTTGTGCCTTCGCTATCAAAACAAAACCCGCTGGCTTTGTGCTGTATTTTCATCTAAAAAAAAAAAAACCTGCGTCCTTCGCCCGCCACGATGATCGCGCGTGAGATTTCCGCGTACTGCGTCGTGCTCTCGCGGCGCGACTGCTCACTCACCCTGTGCAGGTACGTGTCAGAGTTCTCTGGCATGTCGTAGTTGAACACGATGTTCACGCGCTCAATGTCCATGCCGCGGCCGAACAGATTCGTCGCAACCAGAATGCGCTTCTCGAAATTCTTGAACTGCTGGTAGCGACTGAGTCTGCGGACGAGAAACATGCACGCATTGAACAACGTGACTGCAAACCAACCTACTAAAGATCAGAAATCGATATGAAATCGAACCTCAAGATCATAAATCAGTAGATAAACGTGGACAAAGAAACACACATTCAACAAGTGGCTGCTCAGCAATGTAAAGACCAGAGATCGATAGCTAAACGGTGACAAGTAACCACGCATCCGGCATACCACTCTTAGCCAACTCCGAGATCACAGCTATTATTTCACCAGTATTTCGCCATTATTTTACGAGATCGGCTGTCACTGTGCCGACAACTAACCCAACCCAGACCCCCACAGTGCAAACCGAGGCCCGTTCTCTTTCGAAACGGACACAACTAGATGAACGATGGTGAACGCACGGACAGGCGTAGCGACGGGTGATGCGCAGGAACCCCTCCTCTCCCAGCACACTCACCGTTCTTCCTGCGTCATGCCTCTGTGGATCGCGATGGCAGGGAAGTTTTGCTCGACGAGCAGCTGTGCCAACGCCATGCACCGCTGCACGCTCTTAACGAAGATCACCACCTGAAAGCACGCACAAAACAGTCCGTCCATCAACATACGCAGCCTAACAACACCGAAAGCTGAGAGCAAGAGTCTAACATCGTCAGTCGATTTCATACATGTAATTTCATCACAGAGGGCACCCATCTGACACTAGTTAGTATTTTTTTAATAGTTTTTAGACACGCAATTTTCAATCGAAACTTCAAATTATTTTAATTTTCATTCGGCTTTTGAATTTTTCTATCAAACGCCACCAAGCACGCGCCAACTACACCGTCATTTCGTTAGAGAAAGCGCCTGCCTGCCTGCCCGACATCGGTCACCAAGGATAGGGGCGCCGGCGTTACCTGGTTGAACTCGAGCACGTCGAGGAGGTCGAAGAGCTTGCGGTTCTTCTCGTTGTCCTTCAGCTTGACGTAGTGCTGCTGCAGGCCGTGCAGCGTCAGCTTCGACTCGTCGTCGATGTACACCTCCATCGGCTGCAACAGAAAACGAGCGCCCCCAACGACGTTTACCTCCCCAGCCCTCCCGCAAAACGACGACGACGACAACAGCCACAAACTCGCGCCGCGCTACGGACAACTTCTACTCCGACTCGTGCTACGGGGGCGAATTATACTTTACTGCAAATTTCCGCCACGCTACCGGCACAAATCTAAATTTCAAAGCTCGTCACGCCACGGCCAAGGACGCAAGGAATTTAGCCGCGCCGCGACCAGAAGAAAAGCGACGACGAAAACCGACAACCACAGCCGGCGAAGAAGTCGGGCAGATATTTCTCTAAAAAGAAATCTCGACTGAGCGCGACAGGAGATTAGGACGATTTACGTGAAACCCGTTCCGGAAAAGTGACGGATTCGAGTGAACGCTGAGGGGAGAGCACAGTGCAGATTACACGGACGCAACCCGCCCACCGAGACATGCATCGCAGCCATGCTTAGCTCAGGTGATTCGTCTGAAATTAGACTCGCGCACGAATGGCGCGCGACGCGCACGCTGCACCGCTGAGACGGCCGCGCGACGTCGAAACCACCGCTCTGAGCTGAACACGACTCGCTACGGTTACAACTTGCGGAGACGTCCTCCGGTCGCTCGTGTTTCGCTCCCGTGACGCGCGGTCGCTGGCAATGCCGTCCTTCCCCGCAGCAGCGGCGGCGTCCGGGCAGTGGCAGCACCACTCGTCCTGCTCTCCCTCGGCCGGCTGCCGCGCCTCTCCCCTCTCGCTCACTCGCTCGGCGCACGCGGCGCGCGCAATGTCCACGACAGACGCTCGGTTGCCTGCGTCTGCACAGCTGAACTTTCTGCCCTCTCTCTCTCTCGCTCGCTAACTGCCGCCTCTTGGCACATTCACGACAACGGCACGGCATCGTTTCCGAAGCATCCTTGCACTGATCAACTCGGAACAGACCAGAAGGGAACAGCAACACCCACCCCCCATTTCATGAAACGGACGGCAAATCGTTTGAAGGAACGAGCGATAAAGAATTCGGATTCGGAGGAAAGACCGACAAACCCATTTGACGACACAAGGCGCACACCTGGAGGAAACGAAGGCGGAGGCATCAGAATCTCCGGCAAGGAATAGGTGCGAAGGAAGGCAATTCACCAGATAGGAAGAGGAACAAGGAACGGAAGAGGGGACAGCCGAGGCCCTACACTACATCGCTACAAATTCTGGGGGGAGGAGAGGTACTCAGACCGTTATCGGAGGGAGGCGTTCACGGGAGGAGCCCACCATCTTGCTTGGATCTTTCTCGGCGCAGAAACTACGATCAACGCCGACTGGATCCCTGCCACTACCCTAATTTACATATCGCCGACCCTTCCTATCCCACCCGAGCCCACGGGACCTGTTCTGACAGAATTTCCCAAGAAGGGAAGGGAATGGGAGCTACTCTTGCACCTCACGAACTGCAGTGGATCGGCTTAGGTACCGCGCAGAGCGGTGCGAGAGGCGGCGTAGATCTTGGAGACGTGCGGCAGCGGTGGGAAACGACGTAGAGGAGACTGCTGACGCTCCAGCACAGGAGACCTTCTTTCGACCGGGACTCGCGACGACTACGCGCCGCCGCCGCCGACGGGACGCGGAAAGGAATGAAAAAGTAGGTGGGCATTTACGTCTTGCATGAACTTCTTGCAGACGGGCCGGATTTCCTTGCTCAGCGTCGCGCTGAACATCATGACCTGTTTCTCGTGCGGCGTCATCTTAAAGATCTCCTGAACATCGGCTCTCATATCTAGATGAGCAAGACAGAAAGAAGATTGTCGTTAACACACAAAAAAACCCTACTAAACCGCACGTGAATCTGCAATGCGTTCGTTGTTATCTAGACGCCAAGACAGAGAGAACACCCGTCGTTAACACACACAAAATCCGTACTCGACTGCATGTGAATCTGCATGCGCTCGGCATCATCTAGATGCCAAGACAGAGAGAAGACAGTCGTTAACGCCAACAAAAATATTAGCATTTTACTGCAGATAAATCCACATGCGTTTGGTGTCATCAGAGGCAGGGGTCGGGGTCGGGGGGAAAACGCTCAACGACATTTGAAGGGTTTTGCACTCTCAATGCAGACTTGTTGATGACGACGACGATCCGACGCCAAGACAGAGGCGCGCATGCGCGGCACACGTACCTAACTCTCCGAGCATCTTGTCGCACTCGTCGAGAATGAAGTGCTTGATGTGCTTGAGGTTGAGAGCCTTTCCGCGCGCGAGCGCGAGGATGCGGCCGGGCGTGCCGACGACGATGTGCGGGCAGTCGTTGCGCAGTGTCTCCTCGTCCTTGCGCTGCGGCAGTCCTCCGAGAAACACGCTGACCTTCACCTGCACCGGACAGATTAGAGCGTCAGCTGCCGATCGAATCGCTCTCGCTCTCTCTTTGTCTCTCTCACATCGCATCTTTTCCATCCGCACCAATCTCTGTATCTGTCTACCCCTCTCGCTCTCTCTCTCTCGCTCTCTTTCGCTCTTCCCCTCGCCCCTCTTCCTCTACCTCGCCTTCTCTGTCTATCTCTTTCTTTTCCTCATTTACTCTCACTTCCACCCTCACAGCACACACGTTTCACACATAATAGTTTTCACACGGAACACCTCGAACGACCACCAAACGAACCACCACGCAACGCTCACACACAGGACGCTCACCTTGGTCAAATACTTAGAGAAGCGACTGTACTCCTTGCTGATCTGGTAGGCGAGCTCGCGGGTGTGGCAGAGCACGAGCACGGACACCGATCCGTCCTGCGGCTCCAGCTGCTGCAGCGTCGCCAGCACGAACACGGCCGTCTTGCCCATGCCGGACTTTGCCTGCGATATGATGTCCATGCTGAGGATGGCCTGCGGAATGCACTCGTGCTGGACTGGAACGGGAAAACGCAAAAAATACATGAACGCGGGATCAGCACAGAAGTGTCACCGGACGATTGAAAATACGCGAGCCTGCCGATTAAACGTGTCCTATTCGCATTATTTGAACGCACTACAAAAATGGGTAATCTAAGTAACATACAACAAACAAACGATAATTTGACTAACATGACGGCCATTTGTGACATTAATTATTGAGTCAAATCGTTAACGATTCGAAAAAAAAAGAACTACATTTATACGGAGAAGTACACCAGGGTTCTCCCTAGAGCCCTTTTCAGTATCGGCGCCGATACGCGGTCATTTTGGCCCGATACACTCCAATTGTTTCGATACTCACTCGAGCAGACCCGATACTCTGTTTTGCTGTGCCAATATCTTGATAAATCTTCCAATAAATGCCTATATTTTGTGATAAATACCATTTTAAATCCCTCCATGCATCGCCGATATCCGCCATTTTTGTTTACTACCGATTGGAGACTTCTGCGCGGGTTCACGCGCAGGTCAATTATGTCACACGCTACGCGATTTAGTTGATCGTTTGGCGGGCTATTTGATAAGACTACACATGATTGGATCATCTCGTTCAGTCATCAGGGATTCAGCAATATGATTGGCTACAAATTTATTCTAATCTACTATAATGAACTCGATGACCTCGTAGTACGACGCTGTTTGAATATACTGCTATTTGTTTGAATTTTTTTCCCCTC